CCGAGCCCTCCCGGCAGAAAGCCCGTCAACCTGCGGAGGGCACAAGACGGGAAGGCGGCAGCCCCCTCTCCCGGGTAGCTTTCAGACGAAAGGAAGCGGGAGTACAGGAGCTTTGTCTTTGTAGCAAAGACAGAAAAACAAAGGGGGAGAGGGGCAGGTAAAGGGCAATCGCCACTTCTCGGCGAAGGCGGGCGCAGCTCTGACCAGTACTCCCCGAGAGGTAGAGCTGATAGGCGGGTGATTAACAAACACAGACCACAAAAAATAAATACGAAGTTAATAGAGCTGCCCTCTAATTTGACTAACCTGGCAGACGCGGTCTCTGCCGCTGCATTAGCGGAGCCTGTGCCGCCACTCCTGCCTGTGCTCCGACCTGACACGGGCCGGCCCCAGGGCTCGCCGACGCCTCGCCCTGTTCACAGCCTCCACCGAGATGCCGCAGCTGTAGGAAGAAGCCAACTCTAATACCAAGGAACACCAGTAAAATGCAAAAGTGCTTTAATAAAAGTCCAAAACACACAAATAAGATACATTATATACAGTGACACAAAGGGGCAATGTGCTGCTCGAGTTCACATAGGAGTTACAACTTCTTAATCAGATGCTGGGCTAGCTTCCATATGATAGAAGAGTCCAGCTGTTCAATGGCACTTATCTTGGCATTTTTGCTGCTGGCGTATTTGTTCCTGATTGCCTGCAGAGAAATAAGTTTGATTAAGTTTACCCCATTCATAAACTTACGCTATTCCAGCCATCTGAGGCTCGGTGGTCAAGCCAAGCCCATCCTAGCACACAAGAAGAGTTCATGGCTGGCTGATGCCACTTTGGCAAGATAGAGACCTTCAGCTGAAGCGAGCAGGTCTGATCCAAGTCTGACAGCAGTGGCTCAGCTAAGCCAGCTTCAGAGCACCATGTATTGACTCCTAACCACAAGTACTCCCTGCCTGCACCGCGAGATTCTTACCACGTGCTTGGTAACGCCCTCATTCACAAGAATTATGTTCTTTGCTATGTGCTGCATAACTGGGAGAAGGTCACTCTCAGCGTAAGACATGTAGTGTTGCAGAGTTGGAGTCTGAAAGGAAGGTAAGTCGTTAGACAGACCTACTAGCACAACCTGAGTACACTGGGTTCTTTGTCTTCTGTTGGGCTTGGGCAATTGCAGTCTCCTGTCTCACAGGGGAGGGTTAACAGTTACTGCCCTGTTTCTGTCCTCTTGTAAGGACCATGGGGAGACAAGAACATGTGGAGATAACACGAGGGAAGCAGAAGGCGTGCACTTGGCCCAGAGCGGCCTTTTAAGCTGGTGCACAGACACAGAGTCGCAAACTAGGAGGCAGTCGGACAAGCACGACTTACCCATTCACATCCATTGAGCAGTTTCAGAGCCAAACAGGAAGCAGCCGCTGCGGTCTTGGATGGAGGGAAGTGAACCATATCATAGTCCACAATGGACAACTCCATCAGGTACTTGGCCAGAACATGCTGCTCCAAGTCCACCTGCAGTAAATCAGAGTTGAGTATTGGCTATCTCCAAGGCAAAAGCATCCTGTCAAGCCTTTTAGTCAAGCAGGAAGAAATACTTCCTTAGCGAACATTTGCAGAGCCATAGGCTTGAAATTCAAGTGGCTTAATCACAGATCAGTTCCGAGCTGTATTAGGCTGCTCATAGTCTAGCTCCACTCCTTTCAACAGCAGTCTAGCAGTCACCTGCAGTACCAGGCAGGCATTTTAACTCCAGTTTTGGGTGGGTTAGGCTCATGTGACTGGAAGCAGACAAACAAGACCTGTTTCTACGTGGGAGACAGATCTCAACCAGGCTCAGTTGCTAAAAAGTGTTGCAGTACGTAAAAGTTTTGAGCCATTTTAACAAGATGCCACAGTCGAGTACTGCATTTTCCAGATACTCCTTACAGTAACACCTGTTCTCAGCATTACCTCTGCAATCTTTGAAGCCCTTCTTAGGAAGTGTGGAGGGAGAGGGCGACCCAGATCAAAGTCCAGGGCTTGCAGGATCTTCATCTCCATCTGGCAGATTTGGAACTTTGTGTAAGTGTTATCAGTTATATAGGCAAAGTCTCCAATATGTGGGGGAAACATCTCTTCATATTTGCTGGCAATGAACATAGCTGTGACACCAACCAGCTGTAACGTCTTCTTGGTAACGGCATTGTCCTGTAGTAAGCAGCAGTAGAGATTTATCTGAATGACTTGGCTCAGAACACAGCTTTTCAAGGTAGCCAAGGTAAGGTTTGTTCTACGGCAGGATGTTCATACTGGCATATACAGAGTAACTGTACATCGTCTGTTACCTCTATTGGCATCTGCAGGGGCATTAGAAGGCTTTGAGATCAAATCAGGGAGAGGAGTAAGCAGTTTTGATGTATCAAGTCACTGTTCATAGCTGAGAGGGTTACATGGTGCATACAATTCAACATCAAATGACCTTTGCTGGCCAAGTGTATTTTGTTAAGGGTAACGTGTCTGACCATGTATGGTTACTGATCAGTGCTCGTTGTGCTTTAGCTTAGGGGAAAAGCATTGCCTGACACTGGGCGAGAGACACTCACCTGCAGGAAGCGATCAATGATAGCAACTGCCATATACAAGGTCTCCTGCTGGAGTCTGAATTTTATCTGTACTTGCACAAGCCAGTCTATTAGTATGGCACGCATGTTCCCATTGATTTCCTGGCCGGCCAGGTATTTTGGTCTTACAGGTTGATTTTCCTGTGTGGAAGGAATAGGGTTAATAGATCTAGTCACTGAGCTGAAGCATTTGCAATGCCTAGCCTCTGTTGCATCTTAAGGTTTATCAAGGATTTCAGTATGGGCATAGCCCATAGGTCTAGGCCACAGGGCACAGGTTTCTTCGTTTACTAGAAACAGGCTAGAAAGAGCATGGTACTAGTAGTACTAGTTGATTGGTCTAGCAACCAGCATCTGTTTATGTTATCAGCTCAGTTTAATCTTGTATTTTAAGTTGAGGGATCACTTATTAGTGCCTCAGGAAAATCCATATGTGAAAGTGAATACCAGCTCCAAGCCACGCCTATAATGACAGGTTCACCGTAAGCGCCAGCAGATGCCCCTTGCAGTTCTGACCTACTCCTACCAACCTCAAGGTCTCTCAGATACTTGTAGATGTCCTTCACATAGTCACTGCAGAGGTTTGGGTCAGCACCATCGTCCACATCTACGTCTTCCACATCAAGCAAGACATCAGAAAAAGCCTGACACAGCATGTCCTCTGATGGGGCACATCCAGACGTCTCCATGGGGGTTAGAGGCTGAGTCTCCAACTACAAGGAAATTCGGGATCAGCACGGGCAGCACTTCCCTCTGCAGCCCAGCGCGGGCCAAGCGAAGGCTCCTGTGGGGCGAGCCACACCCACCAACCCCACAGTGTGGGAGCGCTGCAGGGGCTCACAACCCCTATTTCAGGGCACCGAGTGAGGCTGCGCCCCCCACTCAGCCCAGCCCCGCAGCAGGGGCAGCACAGACCAGGGCTGGGGAGGGGGCACACGGCCCCAAGCAGGCCGCAGGCGATACCTGGGAAGGGTCTGGCTGGGGCTCCGGCTTGGACTCCGGGATTGGCGGCAGCACCTCCTCCTTGGCAGCGGCCCTCAGCGCCCTCCTGGTAGCCATCTTCTCCAGGGAGGTGGCGAGCACGAGCCTGGTGGCCAGCTCCCGCCCGTAGCCCCCCTCCACCACCCCCCTCTTGG